CTTCAAGAACAGAGCGTACCAATTCTTAAAAGCGAACGTACTTGCGAGCCTTTTGGTATTGAGTTTCCATGGGTGGTATCACTTAACATCAGGTGAGCCATCTGCACGCAAGTGACGGTGTCTTCGACGTACGTATGAGAGGTATACACAGTATACACTGAAGGGAACGACTGAGAACGAAGAACCAACGAAGTGATTAAAGCACTGAAAGCTAATCAACTATAGATACTTGCAATCTTCTTTAGCATTAAACAAGGTAGTGAGGGAAAGTATGCGCATCTGGGATTGCTGGCCAGCAATAAAATTAATTTTATTAGCCTCTTTAAATTATTTGTAAATACATTATTTGTTGATACGTCAACTGATTTACCAATCACGCGATCGACACGTCACTCTCCCGCCGCCTCCCCCCATTCCCAGTGATACCTAAAAATCGCTTCTGCGCAGGCAACGACATTTGTTCAAGATGTTTGCCGGTATCTGTACCTATTTAAAGGTGCGCTTCAAAAAATGCCTTAAGAATCGTTGTCGTACATCATCATGTCGTCAGACGTCGAAGTGATGAGAATAGATACAAAAATCGACGACGTTTGTCATAGAAAGTATAATAAAAAATAAATAAATTTGGCATTTATATTTAAGTTAAATATATTTAAATTAAACTCGTCTAACTGATATCGTTTGATAGCTCTAATTTAACATAACTTTCTTATAATACTCGTGTCTACTTTGAAATGTTTTAGAAAGTTTGCCCCGAGGCTTTTTAATTTTATCTAGTTACAAATAAACTTATACATACATTGTTATTAGCCATCTGATAAAACTTTCGCTAAATCTCTTTCTATCGTTTTAAAGGTCAATGCGTGGATTCTTTTATGTAATAGATACATACAATATGTACACTATGTGTTGGAAGGACCCCAAGAAGACGATGTGTGTCAGGCATAGAAGGTTGATCACGTTTATTATTAAGTTATTTATTCGAAAATAATTTCACGAAGTCTGAGACTAAAACCAAGGGTTGTATGCGATAAACTAAAAACCTTATTAGGATTTTTGGAGAAGAATTAGATCACCTTGTTTTTATGTAAATTGACTTAAATGTAACGACTAGGTATAGGCCGCAAAAACTCTTGCAAAATTACACGAAATCCACGCGGGTGACGGAGCAAGAGTAAATAAGTAAAAGACTACTTCTGATTGACGTATTGATACGCTAAAATAATTTTGAGATGCTTGCTAATTCCATGCATTTTAGTTTTAATTAAAATATTACTTAAGGAAAAGTTATGAAGCTAAAATTATATTTTATTGTATATTTCCTTAAATAAACTAATTAATGTCGTATCGGAATTGCATTTTTAAGATATACTGTCAAAGCCGTTTACGACGACATCGATTAGAACACGACTGGTTATATCTACCAAAATCATAGGTCCCGGCTGAATTCTATTGTATTAGGTACTTAATAATAACGTCATTGGCTGTTGGCGACCAAACATGAGTAGTCCCTTCGATGTCGTTATAACAGATTTTGACTGTAATCTTATTAATTTATTAGAGATAATTAAATTGACTTCAAATACGCAATACCATTAATTATTTGCACAAGAGATCAAAATATCGCTATAAATTTAAATTTAAGTATATTTATATTTATTGTAGTAATGTTTACATTTTCTCTTGACCTTGTTGATTTTGGCAAATTTTATCGTTTCATCGTTAAATAAATTTAAACTACGTATTGCGTTCTTTGTATGTATTTATGAGCTTTAAAAATTGTTCAAATAAATAAAAGTAGTGGTAGGAATTTTACACGTAACTAATGGTTTGTTGGTGCCCGTTTTTTATATAAGGTATCGTTAAGTCTTAGCGGTGGCGGTATGTGACGGGTCGTTTAATTCCCTCAAACACGTCATGTTTGTGAACAGGTACCGCTTCCGGAAACTGCACTTCAGTTCAGTTTTGTAATTTTATACAAATAAAGAGCGGACCGTATCTCCCTCCTTCCATCTTCCATCTATGTTTGTCATAGTCATTTTCTATGATGATTTGATATTTAAAAAAAGGGTGCGTGTACTTATGTACGCGCGTAAGAAGTTATACTTCTTTGACTTTCTTTATTTTTTTTAATATAATTAATTAATAATTAATATTTAACGTAAACAATTTAATAATATTTAATATTTAGTATATTATTCAATTATTCATTAATGTTAATAACAATTATTATTATTATTTATTATTTTATTATATTATTCATTCAATTTAATAACTTGGTATGTTTCATAACCTTTTAACTAAGTAACAATAGGTCTTTGTGAAAAAGCATTGCTAAATTTCTTTGAAAAGACCATTAAAACTCCTTTATTTGTTTAAAAGGTAAATGTCATTATGGTCATTCAAAATTCTTGGCATAGCTGCTTACGTCACGCATATTCTATTTCTTTTTACTTGTAGATTGTCTTATTCCCATCTAGCTCGCGCACGCTATAATCATACTGACAACTTTGTGTCTCAGGTGCGCGCGCATCCTAAAATTTCACTCTCATCAATTTTTCATAACGCGCCTAAAGAAGTAAAACTTCAAAAAAGTAGTGAGAATTTTTTACGCCCGCTTTTTCGCTCGGCCTACACCCTCTGTCTTCTTTGCCGATGGGTAGGGATGTCAACCGATTCAAATTTAGTAACGTGGATTAAGTGATACCTGTATCTTAGGTTCCATAATTTAAGTGTAAGGGAGTCACAGCGCTACTTTTTTTTTTTAATTTTACCACTAATGTATGAGACAGACACCAAGACTCAATTCAACGAATGAAATTTGATGCCTCTTGTATCATAAGCTTATATATTTGGCTCTGCAACATTGTATAGGTACATCAAATATTATTATAATAAATAACTTGACTTATTATTTCCTGTTATTCCATTTAATCCAGTTCAAACAATTTGTATGACTCAAAACTTGGCGAATAAAAAGAGTGGTGGAGAGTTTCTTGACAATTCTTCTTGTCCGCTCTACGCCCTTACACGAATTGGTAGTAAATTTAAATTTAGAATTAATTTAACATCTTTTCTGTTGACGTTCATTAGTGCACTTGGTTACCTATATGAATAAAGTTATTTTGAGTGTTAAAATTTGAAATAGTTAAATATTACGGCATTTTTTAATAAATTAAGGTTTGTCAATTGACAGAAACGCTCTCCTGGAAACTATTGCAGCAGATAGATAGCAGATATCCGTTTGTTCTTTGCAGTCGTTGATTTTATCCCCTATCTTATCTGTAAATAAAGACATATAAGGATAGGATCTCAATTTAGTATCAAAATTTAATTGTGTATAAGATAATTTTTTTTATTAGGCAACAGGTTTTTAATGGACATATAAAAACTTATCAAGTAATTCCTACTTCCTTGTATCGTGGTAAACATACAGGTTAATGACCTCACGAGTTGAAATTATTTGCTTTCCAATTCCTTGATACACTCTTTATTCATTTGTCTAATTTATGATTGTAATATATGATTTGGGTATTCGTGATTGTGAATGGTTAAACGATATGACGAATTGCCGCGTGTCTGTGATTGGACTAGAGCAACTGTTGACCAATAACAATTGTACGAAACGCGCCATAGTTTCATCCTTTAACATTCTCTCCCCCGTGATTGACAAATCCTGTAATCTCAGTATAAATTAGGGTAAAAAGGTTTTTTAAGCTATTGCATAGATTTTATCGCGGGGTTTGAGCGCGGCGACTGAATCAAGAAATTCCGTAACGAAAACAAAAACCTAACACACGTCGTCGATGACGTAATATAGGTACGGCCAAAAAGCGTTAGAGCGGGACAGAACTCATACTGCGTATTCACATCTCTCTGACGAGATCGGTGACGTAGCGCAGGTGCGTTAGAGCCGGCAGCCGCATACTGCGTTTACAGCTCTGACTGACGAGTCTGTAGGCGTGGTAGTCTGAGTACTGTTAGAGTGAGAAGATTGAATGCGTGTTAGATATCAGTTAGAGAGGTAGATTGAATTAATATCAAAGAAAAAAAATACTGCATAAATTAAAAATAAATAAATAATTATAATTGCAAAAGTTGATAAATACAATTGCTTAACGCGGAGTCCCCGAGTGCCACACGTTTATTTTTATTTTGATTACAACACAAGCGAGCAGGGAGCTAACTGCTAACCGCCGCCCATGGGCACGCGCGTTGCCAACCTTTAAAGAATTAGTACGTTCTACGCTTGAAGTCTTCTAAGTCGAAACGGTTCGGATATACTTGGAATGGTAACTGGTTCTAGAAGGGTGATGCGCGGCAGTGGTGGCGTCTCCTTCTGTCTTCACTTTCGATTATTTTAAAAATGCTTTGCTGTCGATAAAATATATTTTTTTCTATAAAAATTCATTGGAAAGTTCACATTGGCACTCTACTACGATAAGAATAAGAAATCGTAGCAAGGTTATAACCGTTGACCTCTCTAGACTTACAGGAAACTATTTAGTTAATTAAAAAAGAAGTTGCGTAAAGGTGAAAGTCAAAAGTCAAGATCGATAGTCATGGCCGTTCGTTGGCTCCCGCGCCGGATGTGATTACTTGTTTTGCTCAGCAATCATTGTAAGGATAATTCACTTCCGGTTTTGAATTTCGAAAATATGTAATTCAACTTATATTTGTTGTTTAAACTTCGACCTTCTTTTGTCCTTTGATGTTCATAACTCATTATATAAATAGATTGACACGGGAGTTAACTTCGGTGGCGGTTGTTGGAGGGATGTTCAAATAAATGAGACACTTTGAAGCAAGTGTCAACTGTCATTAATCGTTTAGCTTTCGACTTCCAGTACTTTACATCACATAATGGTAACTTTTAGGTATAAAGAGTCACAAGGTGGTCACGAAACGTTTTACTATACTTGGGTACCGAAAAACGTTACGGCGCGTTACATACTTGAACGCTCCCTAACTAATTTTAATATGTTAATAATTTATTTCAGAAGTGGCAATGGATGCGATGCGTGCGTTCTGCCCGCGACCAGGCTGCGACACCATAGTACAGGTGCGCGCAGCCAGTCCAGCTCATTGTCCCAACTGCAAACATGACTTCTGCTCGCAGTGCAACCAGGAGGTATGTACTGTTTACGGCACCGATGGTGGACCGCAAGGAAAGTTATATATCATCACTATAGCATAAACTCGTATGTCAAAAAAAACATGTATTTTTTATTCTTAGACTCTTATGTCATTTAACTAGTATAATCATGAAGTAAGGACTTATTTATGTTATTAATAAATAAGTCCTTTTTACCATCTAATACTATAGACAAAACAACACTGAAACATTTCTCGTTTCCTGTAATGTTTGGTTCGCTGGACATACGAGGTTATGATCCTACAGCGACGATATACATATTTTAATAATGTATATGTTCGATATTCAAAGCATAAAAAATTACATTTTACACAGCACTGGACAGGTGGATAAGATAAATTTAAAATTCGGTTATGCTTGTGAGTGATGCCAGGTATAGCAACGTTTTAAAATTAAAATAAAAATCAGTTTGACTTTGGACGTGGTTGGGTGTTTACGGGTAATTTGGTACATTACACACAATTTCGAATATTATAATTCCTTGTACCTATGGTTGGTACACTTAGACTCTCATTGGGTCCGTTATGCGTATTCCTTGTACCTAATACCTTTTTGTTTTGGTAAAAATTTTAGTTTGATTTGTGTTTAATGAATTAAGATAATCGTCATGATTATGACTTTTAAAATAGTTTTTAGCTTTATACTAGTACTACGGAGGCACTAACCCCAAGTAATACAATAGCTGGTGAAATTATGAAATATGCACCGGCGCAGTCATTACGCGTTTAACATAACAATACGATGAAAATGGCAAATAATCGCTTTCTCCATACAATTGCACGGTGTACACAATCGTATGCTTTCATTTCTTATTTTCTCTAGGAAATAGGATATTCTGACCTGAATGTCAGTGAATGCTGAAAGATTAAACGTTAGCTTCAAACCTAGCGATTATGGTAGCATACCTGTAAGTCATAAAATCTCCCTGACCGACTGTGACCCCTACTTGTCAAAAGTCTATAAATTAACTGCTGTGTCAGCAATGTGGCTAATTCATGCTCTATACAATTCCATATAGCCTTTGCAATTATTTCTACGCAAATATTATTAACTTGTCAAATACGGCAGTTTATGAAATCATAATCAAATATCGTCGATTGTGGAATGTTCCTGGAAGGCTGTAGCACAGAGCATAGCAAATTATATCGATAAACCAATTTGTATTTTTTATTTTTGCAAGAAATTTTTAAGTTCTATATATTTCTATGTTTGTCTCCTTTTTTTACGTCCGGGTTGTCTAGAAAAACTGCTATTAGCAGTGTGACCGCCTATTAACTTTTTTTATCTACTACTTTGTGTTATTGTGATGTAAATAAAGTGGCATTATTATTATTATCTCGGTGTTAAATTTTGTTAGGTTTTATAAAGTTTCGAAAAACTGCTAAATCAAGTCCCAAATTGTATATTAAATTCGATATAATTTCCTTGCTCCTGCTGATAGAGGACAAGTCTTTGTTTTTATCTCATTTTATTATTATTTATTACTTAAGATGTCATGTAGAACATGGTGCAATGGTTGCAGCTTACAAATTGTGTAAACCAAAAACTGGGCGATTAAAAAGAGTGGCGGAGAGTTTATTGCCAGTTCTTCTCTTCTGTTCTACGCTCTTGATTTGAGAAATGGCAGTAAATGAAAAATTAGAAGCTTATAATGTATATTTCTTTTTTGACGTTCATAAGTGTACATTGTGTTACCTATATGAATAAATGATGTTGATTTGATTTGATATTCTAAATACAATTTAATTTTTTTGTTTTATGAACAATAATGTTGTTAATCTAATAGACGAGTAGAAGCTTTTTAATTTTCCGCCAAAGTGCCGCAGAACCGCGACAGGCTGGAGAGGCTAACCTTGCACATTACTTACTCCAGCTAAGTGTAAGGCACAGTGCCAAGCCGATGCAGCACTATTGTTCTCAGGACGGTTGCAGACTAGCGTTTTGTACACGCGTATAAGCTCCTCTTTGCAGTGTTGGCCTAGTGGCTTCAGCGTGCGACTCTCATACCCGAGGTCGTACGTTCGATCCCCGGCTGTGCACCAATGGACTTTCTTTCTATGTGCTCATTTAACACTTGCTCAAACGGTGAATCAAAACATCGTGAGGAAACCGACATGTCTTAAACCCGAAAAGTCGACGGCGGGGGGGGAGAAAATAAAAAGGGGGGGGGGAGGGGGGGGGGAGAAAAAAAAAAAAAAAAAAGGGGGGGGGCAAAACCTTTTAAGTCTTGTGTTTCTATCTGTTTCATCATTTGGAGACTGACACCTTCTAGACTTTAAAATTGATGGTCATTGAAACAGATTCAGAAATGTTTGAGTGACCAGTTTTAAATCTAAAGAGTAGGTTGTCAGCCCCAGTGGCTGACTTATTTATTTTACCGTTCGATAAAAAATTTATAAAAAATCCAATGGTGCAAAGCCGGGGATCGAACCTATAACCTCAGTGATAAGAGTCGCACGCTGAAACCACTAGGCCAACACTGCAAAGAGGAGCACTGCTAAAAAACGCTAGTCTGTAACCACCCTCAAGAGCCTGCAGCGGTGAAAGGGCCGTTTGCCATTTTTATTTTGTTCTTTACTTGGCGATTTTATCTACAATGGAGGCTCTGTTGGAAAAGTACAGTGCATATAATCAGCAAGATCAAATTTTATCTATCAAAGTAATGATAAGGAAGAGAACATTAATAAAACACAAGGTGCCTAATAGCGTGGGCGAGTATTTAGACCATAAGTTTGACTCTAATTATAAATAACTTAACTTTTTATTATAACATTAGCTGACCCGACCATCGTTGATTTGCCATTTGTATTATTTCTAAGAAACATTTTTTAGTTCAATAAAACTATCTGCTATAGTAAAAAATAGGCGTTGATCGTAGATGGGTGAAAGTTAAGGGTTGTATGTTGTATCATATCAAAACAAACAAAAATGTCTAAAAATTAAAAAATAATTTGGAGTGGACATCCCTAATCACTTAAGGGTTTGAAAGATAGATAGTAGCCGATTCTCAGATTGACTGAATATGCATAAAAAATTTCATAAGATAGGTCGGAAGTTCGGAGGAGTATGGGAACGAACATTGTGACACGAGAATTTTATGTATGTAGAGATAGTCTATTAGAATATATATATAAGAACAGTTAATATTCTTTTTAGACATTATAAAAATGAATATGACATTTGCATGATATTTGATTGTACGGACTTTTATAATTAATCGATCTAATCGTACCATTATCTTGGCAAATAAACTATTTATCATTATTATAACAAAACATAAAAAAACGTTTCGACTTCATTTTTATTTCACGCCTTATCGACGTTGTCGCTCCACTATTGAGCGCTTCCTAAGGCACATACAGCGCACCTTTTGTGAACCCTGTCCGTCCAGGTCCGAACCAAATTGACTTACGGTCCTGCAAGAAAAGAACGTACCAATTCTTAAAGTGCGGCAACGCACTCGCGAGCCTTCTAGCATTGTAAGTGTCATATCACTTATAACCAAGTGAGCTTTTCCCCGTTTGCCCATGTACTAAAAAAATGGACATAAAACCGTTAATCCAGAGAATTCATTGAGTGCAAACGAGATTCGAATTAAATTAAATATCGGATGAAAGAAGCCATAAAAATGAGATTACTTTGACTTATCTTGGCTTGGGAGGAGTCGCATGACGCTTTAGGTGTTTTTTGCGACTTATCCAAAGCATTTGATTGTGTCCAACACGAGACCTTAATCGGGAAACTCCGCCACTATGGCATCAAGCACTGAATCTTCTGACTTCCTATTTACACGGAAGAACTCAGAAGGTTGAAGTGAATGGTAAGAGGTCCTCTGGGTCGGTAGTAGATATGGGGGTACCACAGGGCTCAATTCTTGGCCCTTTCCTCTTTCTCGTTTATATAAATGATCTACCTTTTATGGTAGAGAGAAAACATCAGATAGTTTTGTTTGCTGATGACACGTCCTTGATTTTTAAAATCACACGACAAATAACAAATTTTGACGATGTGAACAATGCTCTATCTTCGATTGTCCATTGGTTTAGTATGAATAACCTTCTACTTAAATCAAAAAAGACAAAATGCATTAAATTTTGTGCAATAAATGCAAGGGTTATGGATACTAGACCAATTATAAACGGTGAGGAATTGAATCTGGATGATACAACTGTATTTCTCGGAATCACCATGGATTCAAAACTTCAGTGGTCCCCTCATATTAACGGATTGGCGAAGAGACTTAGTTCTGCAGCCTACGCGGTTAAAAAAATTCGCTCACTAACTGATGTCGATACAGCTAGACTTGTTTATTTTAGTTACTTTCATAGCTTAATGACTTATGGCTTATTATTATGGGGTCATGCTGCTGATGTCGAAACTATTTTCAACCCGTAGAAGAGGGCTATTCGTGCAATCTATAATTTAAAATGTAGGGAATCTCTTAGAGATAAATTCAAGGAAATTAATATACTTACCTTTCTCTCGCAATATATTTATGATAATATTATGTATGTATACAAAAATAGTGATAAGTTTACTAGAATAGAACATACGCACAATGTTAATACTCGGAACAAACGCAGGCTGCAATTTCCCCGTACTAGACTATCTAAAGTTAGTTATTATTTTTTGGGAAAAGGGATACTCTTCTTTAATAAAATCCCAGAGGCTCCTTTCTCTGCCTTTTAATAAATTTAAGAAATGTATTAAAGAAAAGCTGTGTAAAAAGGCTTACTATAAAGTTAACGATTATCTAGTTGATAAAAGGGCCTGGGACTAGTGCTAGACAGTCTACTTCTAATTAATTTGCGATATTTGTTTTAAAATAAGTGTTGTTTGATGATTTGCTATTTTAAAAGAGTACCGAGAGTTTTTTACGCCGGCTTTTTTTCTCGGCCTACACCCGGTCTCTCGGTCTTCTTTGCCGATGAGTAGGGATGCCTACAAATTCAAATTTAATGACGTGGAATAAGTGATACATGTATCTTATGTTCCAAAATAAACATATTTTTATTTTATCAAACTGATTGCGATTGTAAAGAAAGAATCATCGCTTTTCTATTGTTTGCAATAGAATTATATCTATAGATACTGAAAATAATGCTTACTACTTATATGCTTTTACCACAGTAAACTACCATTACGTAACACAAAAAATATACAGTAGCTTTCATTAAAGTAACATATTGTTACGAGCTAGGGGATTTGATAATCTCTTGGATTCGCATTCAAAACCGAATTAACTAATCGCGTTTCGACTCGTTTATACAATATTCCTGGTATCTTGAACGATGTTCATGAACTCTCTAGGCAGAATTGCTACTGAGTAGCGATTGCACAATTCTAGAATGTACGTACTCTTTATCTCTTTCGCACATTGGTCTGTCCTTGTCGTACGTCATTCTAGAGTGTTAAGTCTGGCTTCTAGAAAGTTCCGTCTCCTTGTCTCATACCTAGCAAATCCAATCTAGAATATTCAATCATCAAAGGGGTATACCCAATTTCCTGAAACAATCTGAAAAAATGTTTCAGTCTCCTGAAAACAAGGGTAACATTATGCAAATTACAAGTTTCTAATAATATATGTATGTGATTGACCCTACTGAAACGGATTACGTTCAATCTTCGGAACAATATTAATATCAAGTTTTTCATTTGACGCGTTATTAATATATAGTTTATATAAAACTTTTATAAGCAATATGTTTGTGCCTATCAAGGCCACAGATTATGTCTAGTTTAGACTAATAACTTGTTTTCTTCAAGTGTCTTGTCGGTGCGGCTTTAAATAAATAGAGATGATTTATTGCCAGGCCTAAGACAACCTGAGAAAGCAAATTTTATTTTCGGAAGTGGCCCCGACCTTGAGATCTGGCGCAACGCCAGCCCACAGCTGTAGTGAGATTTCAATAACCTAATTTCGGGAATAAGTAAAAGTTATACGAAACAGACTTTCATCAGTGATATTCAATTGTTTTTCACGTTAAACATGATCGTCACTTGTTTATATTCGAGAACGCACCAATGACTACAAGTATGTCAGTATCAAACATTGTGTGTAAAATTTGTGTGAAAAGGTTTTGCGCTTATTTTGGCTGAACTGTGTTAATTTTAATATTTTGTCAAACTCATACTAGAGCAGTGTTTCCCAACGTGGGACCCACGCCCTACACTGGGCTACAGCTTTTAATTTAAAGTTTTTAAATACTGTACTGTTTCTCACCAATAAATAGTCTGATTCCTGAGGAACGTTGAAGTGTAAAATTCATTAGGGTTTTATTTAAATTTACTGAAAAATAACAATTATATTTATAGAGGTCGAAAAATGTTTCGCCAAAACTACCGCCACATTCTATATTTCTACCATTCACAATAAAGTAACAAATGTACGAACACACGCTTTAAGTATCAATAAGGCCCTTTAATCCTAATCCTTTGAAGTCTTTTAGTGCTTAGATGAAACCTAGAAATGTAAAGAGAGTTATAATTAGATTATGTCGTAACCTAATTAACTACTTAATTATATTAACTCTGCAAATGATGCAGGCGCCTTTAATTACAAGCTGTAATGGAATGTTAATTGATGCTTCGATAAAATTGCTTTAATGAACATGAATGAACAATATTTATTTTTATTGATTGGTATTGTATTACTTGTATTATTAAATGTATTTTATAACAGCGAACGGGCAGGAGGCTCACCTGATGCTAAGTGATACTGCCGCCCATAGACACTCACATTACCAGAGGGCTCGCAAGTGCGTTACCGGCATTTAAGAATTGGTACGCTCTTTTCTCGAAGGACCCTATGTCGAATTGGTTCGGAAATACTTCAGTGGGCAGCTGGTTCCACATAGTAGTAGGCCGATTTACTGCAATTTATCCCCCCCTCCCTCCTCATAACAATAAAAGTAAGCAAAGTTCTCAACATAATAGTACATAAACAATGTGTGGGTAATATGTGTAAAAAAGTAAATAATTACTGTTGAGGTAATCACCATATAAGAGCATCAAAGACAAAACTCTCTTCCCCCCCCTTTTTTTTTTTGTTGGGTACCGTCAGGAGACCCTCACCCTTTTTTAAACCAGTAGAGGTCCGTCAACTTAGCACATGAAAATGCTGGTAAAAGATATTGTATTATCGTTGAAATTTTCTTTAGAACCAGCAATTGAAAAATAATCAGTGGCGCTACAACCTTTTTAGGTCTGGGCCTCAGATTTCTGTATCTGTTTCATGATCATTTCGACGATAGGCAGGCATTATCAGTCAACTATTAAGCATGTACGTGATCAGCCTCCTGATACACGCCGTCGACTTTTTTGTATATTGCATACCGATTTCCTCAAGATGCTCTCCTTCGCAGTACGTACAAGTGTTAAAAGCGCACATAGAAAGAAAGTCATTCATTCATGCACGGCTGGGGTGAGACCTCAGGGATGAGAGTTGCACGTTGAAGCCACTAGGCCAACACTGTTCTTGGCCAATCTACATTGATAAATAATTCATGACAAACAATTATATATAGAGGGATTTATATCTTGCTTAAGATGTATAGACGCTGATAGAATAATGTATCCATACATTGTAACGCAAATCGAATAATTTATGAACTTAGCGATGTAAGAAAAAAATATACTTTATCGCGAGTTAAGTTTGGTGGCGGTTGCTGTAGATATGATCAGATATATGTTAAATGTAGCACTTTGTTTGAAGCTGGGTAACAACTGACTTCAATCATAAAATTAGGGGTAGTGTGGTTGCGATGTTAACAAAAAACTATCTTGGCTTATTGAAGAGTTCGTAAATCTAAGTGACAATTTAATACAAGTACAGTCGACCCTTTTGGACCATTATCGAAAACAAGAATGTTGTATTACAATTTATGAGTGTGGAAAAAACTAAAGGGCTCATATTGGCCTCAAGTGTGCGATGATTGTTTACATTTTTTGATAATGTTTTACGTTTCTAATTATTAACTTGAATAATAAATATGTAACTTATGTTAATTTACATAACTTGCGTGATGTGTAAATTGCTATAACTACTGAGATGGAAATTATCATATTTGTCTACCACGCATTTGCGAGATATAATTATATGTGAAATATAAAGCCAATTATGGCGGCCAATTACAGGTCCAGTTTTTAAAGAGCCTAAAATTTTTGTAATTCGTTTTAAGCGTTTAAGGTAGTATATTAACGGGTACTTTGAGGACGTGTGAGCAGTGATGGCCTAGTGGCTTCAGCGTGCGACTCTCATACCTGAGGTCGTAGGTTCGATCCCCGGCTGTCCACCAATGGACTCTCTTTCTATGTGCGCATTTAACATTTGCTTCGAACGGTAAACCGTGAAGCAAAACATCGTGAGGAAACCGACATGTCTTAGACCCAAAAAGTCGACGGCCTGTGTCAGGTACTGGAGGCTGATCACCTACTTGCCTATTAGATTGAAAAATCATCATGAAACAGATTTAGAAATCTGAGGCCAAGACCTAAAGAGGTTGTAGCGCCACTGATTTATTTATATTTTATTTATGAAACACTTTGTTTGTCTCGTCAAAGATCGCCCTCATATTTATCATATATTTCAGTGGCATGGCGGAATTACATGTGAAGCGGCGGCTGCATCTTCATCAATGGGAGGCGCCGGTGCACCCTTACTTGCTGACTCTGAATTGATAAAACTCTGCCCTATGTGCCGAGTCCCCATCGAAAAGGACGAAGGCTGTGCCCAAATGATGTGCAAGAGATGCAAACACGTCTTTTGCTGGTATTGCTTGGCCTCGTTAGATGTAAGTATTTTTTTATCATCATCAGATAAAATCATCAGTTACATAAAATAAGAGAAATAATAAATCAGTTAATAAAAAACGTGTGTGTACGTATGTGTTAGAAGTTATACTTCTTTGGCGTAACTAGATAAAAATCTTTTCAAAAATTTTATCTTTCGCCTTATTCTACGTTTGTAGAAAAACGACACTAAAAATATAAAAAAATTACTCTCATCATTTTTAACACGCCAAAAGAAGTATAACTGCAAAAAAACTAAAATGTTGTATAGTTAACTTCAGGGTGTCGGTTTTTTGTGACGGTGTGCGCGCGCGTCGTAAATTTCCTTTTCCCCTATCGCGCCAAAAGAAGTATAACTTCAAAAATCTCCGTTCTATGCGAATTGTGTATTTTTAAGTCAATAAGTTGTTTTGACTGAAATTGTAACGGTAAAACCACGATTCCCCAGAACCTCTTTTTAAGAGAGAATTATTTAAAATCTTAAGCCTAATAATTTTAATGTTTATTTTGATGTAACTCGATGGCAATAAGTTGTTAATATTTAAAAACGTTGGCGTTGCGTAGAGATTTACCATGGAGAGTGTTCAGAGGAGTTGTTCGAATTAATTCCTGCATCAGTTTCATCATCGGACGTCGAGGCAGAAACCGAAATTCACACAAATACTTGTAGGCAAACATGACAATACAAATATTAAACGAAACAATTAAAATTACAAAAACTATACAAAAATCGATTATAAAGTGTGAGGGGAGCAACTATGGACAGACATGTTTATCAGAATTCTTAATCTGGACATCGATGAGCTTTGATCAAAACGCGTTCTTCGTATAGGAAGGGCCTGGGTGAAGGAATAGGGTGATGGGATTCCTAGGATATCCAGGTACACATAAGTTAAATTTTGATAAATCGTTGGGGGGCTTGAAAAAAATTATAGGAGTTTATATTTGCTCAAGTCAATATTGGTACTACATTTTGTGTTTCCAGGACGACTTCCTCCTGCGCCACTATGACAAAGGGCCGTGTAAAAACAAACTAGGCCACTCTCGCGCATCCGTTTTATGGCATCGCGCTCAGGTAAGAACCTTTTTAATGTATCATAACAGTTGCAAAATTTTAAATTTTGCCTTTTTCGATAAATGGGTTAAATTCAATTAAAGGCCGACAACGCACTTCGCGAGCCTTCTGGCATTGAGATTGTCCATGGGCGATATCACTTAACATCAGCCGAGCCTTCTGCCAGTTTGCCCCCTGTTTTATATAAAAATATATCCAAAGAGATACAATTTTAATTCAAGCCGTTCCTGAGATGAGCATTTTAATTTAAAAAAACTTAGAGATCGCCGGCAATCGAACCCGGTACCTATGTATATAATATAAGTGTGTGTGTGTGTGTGTATATATGTTTGTCACCAGTCCAAATATTTAGTAAATTTATATCTAATACTGATTATCCTTCAATTACAGGTAGTGGGTATATTTGCTGGTTTCGGTTTGCTGTTGCTGGTAGCTAGTCCGTTGCTGCTGCTGGCTGCGCCGTGCATTGTTTGCTGCAAATGCAGGTAAGGTCTTTAAATTGCCACAACTTGTGTTCTTAAAGCAAACATCATGAGAAACTCGAGATAAGGTTTTTTTACTTCCGTATGTCCGTTTTTGACATACCAAGCTATTTTACGTAAATTATAAAATGAAAATAGCCTATTGTATTACGGGTGCATCTGATACCCGATATATGGGCATCGGTGATATTTTAATTGCCGATACAACGATACTTTTCGCGCTTTAAAAATTGCAAACGAGGCACGGACTATCTGTGCCCGGGGAATCCCCGCGTTTTATTCAGTTTGTTGTCTCCTTCTCTCTCTCTATTTCATCACTTTAGTTTGCTTTTCTGCTATCGCGCGTAGTATGTATTCGGCACCAGATTAAAAATACAGAATTACAAAAATCTCTTCAATGTTAATTTTAATTATTAAAAATTATTTATTTTTAATATAATTATTTCTTTCAATTCTTAATTTTAATAACTAAACCTTAAATCTTATTCAAAGTTTGTGACTGTTTATATTTTTTTATATAAAAAATATTTACTGCCAGTTCTCAAATCCAGGGCGCAGAACAAGAAGAACTGGCAATACTCCGACACTCTTTTAAATCGCCAAGGTTTTTTTTTAAATACTTGTAAGCCTGCCATCATGCTCCTCATCACATGTTAAAACAGTTAATTATTGGAATTAAATCGAAAAAACAGGATTTTCAAATTTAATATACAGAAAATTATTCATAAGAAAACCATACCAACCAATATTTAACATTCAAATCAGACAGATCCGAAATTAATGTTCTAATAATACACTAGCGGACCTGACAGACGTTTTCATGTACAATTCTCGAATCCACATCACAACAAATTTCATAAAAATCGGTCCAGTCGTTAAGAAATTAAATGACAAAGATTTATATATAAAAGATTATTTATGAAACGAATTTAGTAATAATATTATAAATTAAAAGAAATTGTTTGATCCTTGCATCCTTTCATATCGAGTTTACCCTCATACAAGGATAAACGAATATAAGCGATTAACTTCATTTTTTGTCATTAAATTTAATATATGTATACGAGTACTGTATGTAATAGTAATTATTTAGTAAACCAGCACCGAAGATGCCACTAAAATGCTATATACAGATGTAATTGGACTTCAGGTCTACAAATGTTGTTTAGTGTGTAATAACTGTATGTATTTAATCAATCTATTTTCTGTTTCTGTACCAAAAATGTAAAAATTATAATAAAAAAAAAAATAATACAACCATTTAATTATTTCAGATTATGCAATCCAAACACAAAGAACTTAGAAGAGGTGGACGAAATCGAAAGCATCAGCCCCGGCCGAGAAGACGAGGACAGGACGCGGTATCTCGCCGAATGACGGTTTTAAACGAATTAATTTAAAAAAATTAAAATTACCCTCACTTTAAAAGACCAGTACAAGCAACTGCGGTTAAATGTATTTCTTGCGTGACTGCGGTTTTTTCCCACTATTGTATAATACAGAAATATTTATTGTATATATAGTATTTATCAATTACATTATATACTAAAACCATAATCGTCTGCATTTACGTAACAAAAAATTCATTTGCATTATTTTTTTTATCTCGTGCTGTTTTTATTATTGTCACGTGGTATTGCGGTTAACCGCTAGCGGGAATAAATCGGAGTGTCGCTTAATTTGAATATGGCTTCAATATTTTGGAAAGTGTTGTTTTAGTCAGTCGATATTCGGTCAGAAAATGCGATGGGATAAATTATTTATTAACTAAGTAAGATCTCGGTAAAAGATGTACTTTACTAGTAGACATACAATTGTACATATGTAGATTATGTAAGAACCGAAATCTAATTTAGATGAATCATCGAAAAGGCATTTTAAAAAATAATTTAAGACGCAAGGTAACTTAAAAAAATCCTGAGAAAATTATTTATGGTACCAAAATTAAGCCTTAATTTTCAAAGAAACAAAACTGCATTTAGAAACTTGAAAAGCTAGGATTTGAACCCGCTAATTTTTTTTTTTGAGGTACCCTCATTTGAAAAAAATCCGAACATAACTTAAACTCATAAATTTCGCCGAGACCGTTAAACAGATTAATGAAGTAACTTGTAAGTTGAGAAAAAAAGGAATTTCCTTCTTGAAGTAGTTTCATCAAAATCGGTTAAGTAATTTATGAGATGTTCACGTATTTACGAAACAAGCATATGCGTTGTAGGTATATAACATTGATAAGTTTTCAAGGCGGTTTATTATTTAAATTACTTTTGTTTAATTTTTAACTTACTAATTCAGTGTACAATTTTCGGTTTAAATGGATTTAAATATAAGAAAAAAATATATTCAAAGTTTTGTTTCTTCAAAAAAAATAGTTTTGCTATCAGCGCCATTCTAGGGGGGTATTGTGCTGAAAATGTTACATTAACCTTTATGCGGTGAACTCAATACTGCCCAAGGTGTCAAACTATAATTACGTCATCAAAAGATGGCGCTGGCATTTTGTCATTATCTTAGTACAAAAGATCTTATTTAATAGAGATGGCATTCGTACATTCTATTCAATGGGGTTCGATTTTCAGCGAATTTAAATAAAAATAAAATTTCAGTTACTATTCACGCACTTGTACCAAACGTTTATCATTGATAGACTGAATTATCCCATGCCCCATTTGTAAACAGCAACAAATGACAAGAAACGGTAATCCTAATATGGGCAAAATCAGATTTTGTTGCTGTTCGCATGATAAACAAATTCATCCAACTTGTAGCAATTATCATTTCGCCGGGAATCGACTGTCGAACTTCAACATAAACATTTACATATAATGATAAATTAATAACCGATAATTTGGGAATTGTTAGATCAGCATATTTTAGAACTTCGCCCGTCCTCGTAGGGTCATATAGGGCTTCTGGTTAATTCGAGGTTTCAGTTATATCCAATATTATTACAGATTAATTATGTTCCATTCCTTAATTCTTGGGAAATTATGGGAAGGTCACCGAATCCAAAATAAAGCAGTAACGGAATATAAAAATTAATAAAAAAGTTCATAATTCGCTGTAACGAAGTCAAAGTGTGTAATGCTAATTATGCCATCATTAAATAAAGGTTTATATTTTAGACTTGGTTGTAAAATCACACATTATCATAAGAAGCAAGTGACTTTGCTAGTACAGATTGGTTTTAGGAATCATAAATAATACGTCAACAAAATAAAAAATAATAATAAACTAATTAGTTTTTTTTAACAAGATGATTTCTGTCGAGTTATAATGACGTAAGTATTGTCAACACAACAGACCAGATGAGTCTGCAGCAACATAATATCACACGGCGATTTCCTAAATGTATAAAAAAAATAAAACCCGTTTATTCATTTGACAACAATTCATTATAACTAGTAAGATTTGGGAACTAATAATTTTAATATATAATTTGATTAAATCTTTTTTTTAAAATGCATTATGAATCTAATATATAAAATTCTCGTGTCACAATGTTCGTTCCCATACTCCTCCGAAACAGCTCGTCCGATTCCTATGAATTATTTTATGCATATTTAGTAAGTCTGAGAATCGGCTACTATCTATGTTTCAAACCCCTAAGTAAAAAGGGGTGTCCACCCCAATTTTTTTTTTTAATTCTTAGAAAAAAAAGTTTTTTTTTAATGATAAATACCTAACCCCTAATTTTCACTCCTGTTCGATCAACCCTATTTTTTATTATTGTAGTTTTTTTTAACTAAAAAAATGATTCCTAGAATTAATATACATGTCAAAACAAACGTTTGCCGGGGTCAGCTAGTGAAATTATATAATTATTCATTTTTAGTTGTTCTAAAATAGTGCTTCGGCTTTTTTTTGCAAATCCCATTACGGCACATGTGGTAATGTTTACTGAGAAAACTGAAATTTTCTATGATTTACACAAGTACTTAAATTACATGTAATAAGATATATTTTAAAAACTTTTGCGCATCTAATGACAGTGGCCAACTATAACTTAGCATTGTTTAGGATTTGGTTATACACTTCTTGCACTGGTATTTATTTTTTTGGATTTTTCATTACCTAGGGTTTGCATGGAAGAGATCGCTTGACCGCCCATTGCATCCTTTATAATTTTTATGTTATTTGTTTTTATTTTAAGGTAACGACGTATATATACAAATTATTGAATCGCGGTCTTCTACGCCTAATCACCTTGCGGATAATGTGTGTGACCTTGCGTGTTTCACGAATTTCACTAGTAATTTATTCGTAGTTTTTGTTTCTTATTTGACTGATTTACTAAAATGAGACTGAGTAAAGTTCTGTTGGAATGTTCCTCAAATTTAAGTGTTGACCTTGACTTTCATATAGTGCCACAAACATATCAGATACGCGTCCTTTTTCAATTTAACAACCGGGTCGGATGAGTTGTGGCGCTATTTGCTATTTTTGAGGATAAAACCATGGATAACATTCTTATTGAGTCAATAAAAATAAAATATACATTTGAATAAAATTAATTGTAATTATTGTAACAGTTCTCTAAGAGGAAACCGATTGGACTATAAAATCACAATTTTGCTTACTTGATCTCGAGTCGTACTTATTTATTCACGCCTTGACTGATAACTTGTTATTTCTAAAATATCCCAGTCCTTTAAAATACGGTTCAAATATGCAAAGTTTTACATATTTTTGTCTATAATCCGATTTTTAATTCCGTAGAATTCTGACAGCTATCATTTTTTGTCAGAGATAACAAACCTTTTTGGCCGGGCACATTTTTCAATTTCAATACGAGTCTGAATATCTGACTCTATACATACATTTTATTTGTTAGTTTATTAAGTGCGGATTAAAAGTGGTTTTACGGCGACTGATAAAAACGTCCCTTTTCATCACAAACAGTAAAAACCGCACATGTAAATATAACATTTTATTTTTTTAAAAAGGTTTACTAAACCTGGAATTGGTAGGCAGTGATGCCAGCTAAAGAATAAAATATAGTAATTAAAGTTTATTTGTGATATTGAAATATTTGTTATTTTTGTATTAGGTCACTTGAATAAGTAAATATTAAGATTTACCTTTTTTGTAGATAAAACATAAAAAATACGTAGCATTTTATTTAGAACTTTTCAGTAAACAACATTTATGAAATGTCAGAATTCTACGGAATTAAAAATCAGAGTATATATTGGAGTAGGCAATACTCCGTATAAATAATCACCATCACAATTCGGAATACTCTTCAGAATCAAGGTATTAGTTTTGGTTGGAAATTAGGACATTCCTACAATTCACAAACCGTGGAGCATACTACTTAATGAAGTCTCTTCCTTGGTATAAAGTCTATTTTACAAAAGTTGTTTTAATATATGAAACTTATTTAACCCCAATATTTCCATACAAAATGCGCTTAGCGTACATAGAATAGTTTTATTTTAATAATAATGTAATTGTGTGATTAATGAGAGTATTTATTCTACAGTGAGCAAAATAGTATATATTTAAGGCGATAAAAAATTATTTTGATCACTGATTATGTATTTGGTTCGTTTTACAAGACTACTCAAATATTGAACTAGATGAAATTGTATCCACAGTTTAAAACTGTTATTTGTGTTGTAAGGGAGCGTTCAAGTATTACGTAACGCAATTTTAGGAAAATATTGACCCCCCCTCCCCCATGTAACTCGCCGTAACGTTTTTCAGTACCCAAGTATAGTAAAACGTTTCGTGACCACCTAGTGACTCTTCAGTTACTATTATGTGGTGTAAGTCGAAATTAATATTAACAATAACGTGTAATTCAATCCCCGTCCCGCATCGTAAAGTTTTACGAAATTTGGGGGGGGGGCCCCCAAATTCGTTACGTAATACTTGAACGCTCCCTTACTAAATGTATTTTGTAAATTATATTTATTGTTAATGCATGGTATGTTTATTGCTTTATCAACAAATTCTTACAAAATTTAGGCGTTAGTTTTTTTTTAAGAAATAAAAGAATGTAAGATACATGTTTGTAATCAATTTTGGAGATTCAGGTTTGAGAAATGATTTGTAAACCGAACCTAAAGTGTGCTAAGTGTAACTGCAATGCAGTGAGAAACAATTCAAATATTTACACATTATTTTTCTAATCACTTGAATAAAAATCAAAATCATTGTAACACACTGCTTTCCATGTGTGCGCTCACAAGAGCCTTAACAATATGATTAAATCTAATATTTATGTCTTAATGTAAATAATAATTGTACTTAATATGAGGTTCGATGTAATGGATTCACTCCGTGCTCAAAATTCAATCTATTATTTTGAGAATGTAGTGGAGGGTAGATCATAAAATAAAACTTCTGATGAATGTGGGTAGTTTCTTATG